TTGTAAGTTAAAGATTGGGTTTGTTAGTTAAAAATTAGGTTTGTTAGTTAAAGATTGGGTTTGTAAGTTAAAGATTGGATTTGTTAGTTAAAAATTATGTTTGTAAGTTAAAGATTGGGTTTGTTAGTTAAAAATTAGGTTTGTAAGTTAAAGATTGGGTTTGTAAGTTAAAGATTGGGTTTGTTAGTTAAAAATTGGGATTGTAAGTTAAAGATTGGGTTTGTTTGTCAAAAATTAGTTGTTTGTCAAAAATTAGGTTCGTAAGTTAAAGATTGGGTTACCGGTTTGTAAGTTAAAGATTGGGTTTGTTAGTTAAAAATTGGGTTTGTAAGTTGAAGATTGGGTTTGTTTGTCAAAAATTAGGTTTGTAAGTTAAAAATTAGGTTTGTAAGTTAAAAATTAGGTTTGTAAGATTAAAATGGGTTGGTAAGTTATAAATAGGGGTTTTGGCGTAAAATTGAGATTTTGAATAATAAGATGTAGTGCAATAATAGTTGGGAGTTTGAGATTAAAATATGAGAGTTCAGAAATTGAAAATTTGAATATTAGGAGAAATACGTTATAGTGAAAGAAAGCTAGAGAAACATACAGAACGTGACAATTTTGAACTTAAACAAATGTGATTTTTAAATGAAATTAAGATCAACAGGTGAGAAGGAAATTCAGGAGATATATAAATGGGGAAATGAGAGAATTGTTTCAGGTAAGCTATAAGATGGAGATTCAAAAAAGGAAAAATTACAGGATTACTAATGAAGGGAACAGGAGTATTACTTGGGAGACAGATGAGTAGGAAGTAGGTATAAACTAGGTGTGGTAAGGTGATTGTGGACGTCGGAACAAAACTGATACGGAATTACAGCCAATATATCTTACAGCATGCAGACAGGAATCGCGACAGACATAGAATTACATATGCAGATGCTGCAAGTATTATGTGTCGACGGTAACAGGAGATTATCCCGTCTCCGATACCAGGATCTGTGTAGCTTAAAGGAGGCATAGATGCTTGAGGATGTTGTGTCCGGTGGTAAAGGCTTAGGTGTATAATAAGTGACAGTGCGTAAGATGTTTGGAATATGTAAACAACTAATTACAACATTTATGACACCAATTTATTCCGGATTTTGACGTAAAAGGGGACAATTTTGAAAGTAAGGGATATATTTATATCTGGTGTCATACATTTCAGTTCACTCTAATTGATCAATAGTAACGTATTGGTTGACTTATTTACTCTGACCATGTTTTTATATCGCTGGTTTACTGAGGGAGCTTACAAGTTGAAGATTTATTGAAAAGTTTGAGGAGAAATGTAAGAATTGTTCAGGGACCAGTACCTACCTATTAAAAGGGTTGTTGTATGTAGGTGTGGCCTGTCAGTGCTAGGGGTACCAGTTGTTGGGGATGATATCTTTGTCACTTTACCTGGGTTAAAGTTGACATAAAGAGCTCTAGGCTAAATAATGATTTAAATAAAATTTATGTAAATTGGTTTAATGTTCAATAATTGCATTTACTAAAGATTCAATGAATTTTTTGAACTGAATTGATAGAGTGTGAAATGATTGAATTGGAGGAGTATATAAGAGGTCAGTGTACAATGATCTAAAAGGGGATATCTTAATAGAAACATTGAGAGGAATGTTTCTTATATTATACCTTCTTTCCTTGCCTTTTAATTAAACATCAATTTATATGAACCTTTATTTATTTTACACAATTATGAAACAACTTATTTCAACTTATATCAATAACCATTGTTGGCCCCGATATTATTGCGTGGTGGGTCTTAATGTGAGGGGAAACAGCAGAAAACCCACATGGTCAGTTGGTGAACCCATACCTTTTTACATCCAATTGGGGAATTAAACCCTGGCCACCTTGGTGAGAGGCGAGTATCTTATCCACTTCACCACCTGACCACATAGATTTGAACAGATGTCAATGTTTGTATGTCGTTATGTATCTATAGCAATGCTGATATGACACCGTGACAGCCTACTGAAGTCAACGGAATTCACATTTAGAATATTACCACAGTAAAGTATTAAGTCAGCTCTATTGTTTTTAAAGGAGTTTACACACAGTTTACCCATATATCCTCCAGCTGATCTGTGCATTGACTGTTCCAGCAAACATACATCAGGAGAGAATGAAACACTCAGTATAATTATCAGGTTTAACAAAATGTCCATGTGTACGAAAGATAGAAATGAAGAAATAACAGATGCAGCAAAAAAGAATGTTTAAGCTGGATGAATTCTTGGTAATACTCTCAAGTATCCTCAACGACCAACAGTAGGACTAAAAATGTTCTACTACAAACACAATTAAACAAAAGTCTAACAAGCACCTGCTTTAAACACGAACTTTTAAACAAGGTCCCATCAAAGTTTCCAGACTATCAATGTTCTACACACAAACCAAAGTATCCAGACTTACAATGTTCCAATGTTCATACAATTAAACCAAAGTGTCTAGACTATCAAGGTTCTACTATACACATAAACTGAAGTGTCCAGACTATCAAGGTTCCACTGTACACACAAACCAAAGTATCCATACTTACAATGTTCCAATGTTCATACAATTTAACCAAAGTGTTCAGACTATCAAGGTTCTACTATACACACAAACTGAAGTGTCCAGACTATCAAGGTTCTACTGTACACACAAACCAAAGTATCCTGACCTACAATTTTCCAATGTTCATACAATTAAACCAAAGTGTCCAGACTATAAAGGTTCTACTATACACACAAACTGAAGTGTCCAGACTATCAAGGTTCCACTGTACACACAAACCAAAGTATCCAGACTTACTAGGTTGCAATGTTCAAACAGTTAAACCAAAGTGTCCAGACTTGCTAGGTTCTAATGTTCTTACAATTAAACCAAAGTGTCCAGACTAACAAGGTTCCAATGTTCATACACACCAAAGTGTCCAGACTAACAAGGTTCCAATGTTCATACAAACCAAAGTGTCCAGACTGACAAGGTTCCAATGTTCATACACACCAAAGTGTCCAGACGAACAAGGTTCCAATGTTCATTTACACCAAAGTGTCCAGACTAACACGGTTCCAATGTTCATACAATTAAACCAAAGTGTCCAGACTATCAAGGTTCTACTGTACACACAAACCAAAGTATCCAGACTTACAATGTTCCAATGTTCATACACACCAAAATGTCAGGACTAACAAGGTTCCAATGGTCATACACACCAAAGTGTCCAGACGAACAAGGTACCAATGTTCATTTACACCAACGTGTCCAGACTAACAAGGTGCCAATGTTCATACAATTAAACCAAAGTGTCCAGACTTGCTAGGTTCCAATGTTCTTACAATTAAACCAAAGTGTCCAGACTAACAAGGTTCCAATGTTCATAGACACCAAAGTGTCCAGACTAACAAGGTTCCAATGTTCATACAATTAAACCAAAGTGTCCAGACTTGCTCGGTTCCAATGTTCTTACAATTAAACAAAAGTGTCCAGACTAACAAGGTTCCAATGTTCATAGACACCAAAGTGTCCAGACTAACAAGGTTCCAATGTTCGTACACACCAAAGTGTCCAGACTAACAAGGTTCCAATGTTCATACAATTAAACCAAAGTGTCCAGACTAAAAAGGTTCCAATGTTCATACACACCAAAGTGTCCAGACTAACAAGGTTCCAATGGTCATACACACCAAAGTGTCGAGACTAACAAGGTTCCAATGTTCATACACACCAAAGTGTCCAGACTAACAAGATTCCAATGTTCATACACACCAAAGTGTCGAGACTAACAAGGTTCCGATGTTTATACACACCAAAGTGTCCAGACTAACAAGGTTCCAATGTTCATACACACCAAAGCGTCCAGACTTACAAGGTTCCAAAGTTCATACACGCCAAAGTGTCCAGACTAACCAGGTTCCAATGTTCATACACACCAGAGTGTCCAGACTAACAAGATTCCAATGTTCATACACACCAAATTGTCCAGACTAACAAGGTTCCAATGTTCATCCACACCAAAGTGTCGAGACTAACAAGGTTCCAATGGTCATACACACCAAAGTGTCCAGATTAACAAGGTTCCAATGTTCATACAGACAAAAGTGTCCAGACTAACAAGGTTTCAATGTTCATACACACCAAAGTGTCGAGACTAAAAAGGTTCCGATGTTTATACACACCCAAGTGTCCAGACTAACAAGGTTCCGATGTTTATACACCCCAAAGTGTCCAGACTAACAAGGTTCCAATGTTCATACACACCAAAATGTCAGGACTAACAAGGTTCCAATGTTCATACACACCAAAGTGTCCAGACTAACAAGGTTCCAATGTTCATACACACCAAAGTGTCCCGACTTTCAAAGGTAAATCATGTCCTTGATTTTTACACTCATGTTGACACATAGACTTGGACTGATATGCAATATTTCACACAATGAGAAATCTGACTATCTTCCTACTGAGAGGTAACGCACTACTAATTAATTTGAAGTTAATTTACTGTGTGTTTAATGCATTAGAAATGTGTTTAGGTCTGTATCTGGCTGATTGACAGGACCACTGGACCTTAGGATATATACATTAAGTCTGTCGGGTGTATCTGGCTGATTGACAGGACCACTGGACCTTAGGATACATACATTAAGTCTGTCAGGTGTATCTGGCTGATTGACAGGACCACACGACCTTAGGATACATACATTAAGTCTGTCGGGTGTATCTGTTAATGATGTCGTTTGGGTCTGTATCTGGCCAATTGACAGGACCACTGGACCTTAGGATACATACATTAAGTCTGTCGGGTGTATCTGGCCAATTGACAGGACCACCGGACCTTAGGATACATACATTAAGTCTGTCGGGTGTATCTGTTAATGATGTCGTTTGGGTCTGTATTTGGCTGATTGACAGGACCACTGGACCTTAGGATACTTACATTAAGTCTGTCGGGTGTATCTGTTAATGATGTCGTTTGTGTTTTGTAGAGGAGCGGAAGTCGGACTTGGAGACTCTGACAGGTGTGAAGATTGTTCGGGCAGGAATTGGATACAGGGTGAGTCAACTGTCTATATATACTCCTTATATATTCTAATTTATTCTGTTAGTATAAACTTAAATGCCTGTCCTTGAAATTTGATTGATTCCTTTTCTGACATGGACACAAATGTATCCTCCTTGTCACGACTTTGCCGTAGCGAAATCTGTTTCCACTTCAAGAAGAAATCTTTGGGGATGTCATAGCTTTGTAGATATATATATCATTAAATACATGCATCTTATACAAGGTGAGTGGTGACAGGTGTGATATTTTAGGTTGGAGGTGACTCAGGTCATTTGATAAATCGTTGACAATTTTGTACCATTCATTCATTACAGGTTATTTCTCTATTTTCCAACTGATGATTAATATTTGAAATAAATAATGAAAAGCATCAAGCAGGTGAACTGAACACATGAATCACAACGCTTGACAGTGGAATTTGAAATCACTTGATGGATAAATTGGTAACAGTTGCATTCATGCACAGAATCACGTTGACGCCTGTATTGGTTCTTATTTGCAGGGAAATCTTAAACATGAACTCTAACCCCAACTCCAATTACAGGGTTTTTTCACATCCAAATAAAATGCTGTTTCGTTGAAAATAGAGGACATTAATAGCAAGAAATTTTCTTCAAAAATACAGAAAAAAAGTTTTCAGTTTCCTAACGGTATGCATCTCTCAGGCTGAGGAAGGTGAGAACTGCCCACGGAGGAACGTGCTTATGCATCAGCATGTTTTCGCTGGTAATTGGTGGGATTATGGGTCTAAAAGCGAGTGACTAAGAAACATGTCTGAGTAAGTGCTATTAGCTGTACAGTCAAGTGTAGAGTATCACAGTTACTAAATTAGATAGTTAGGTGACACCATGCATAAGGTTAGCCTTCGCTATCAGCTGTACAGTCAAGTGTAGAGTATCACAGTTACTAAATTAGATAGTTCGGTTACACCATGCTCAAGGTTAGCTTTCGTTTCATTTCACCGGCAATCTCGTCAAATCATGAACATTTCATTTGAATATCAAAACTGAAAATTGCATACACAAACATATTTGAAAGCCACAGATTTCAATCTGGCCTCTTTTAACGAACTGAAGATTACCATTTTTTTTGTCTCAATTCAGATATCAAAATACTTCCAAATAGAACCAATAAGACATGGAACGTTGATATAGCGAAAAAATGTTTGTTTGATTTTTACTGACTGGAATATTGTAATGGTTGAGCCATGTGTGGTGTCTACGATTAATCATGGTTGACCAGTGTTGATGAACCAGGATGAAATATCTGTGATGTTAGATAGAGACAATATGGTATATCAGGTAAAACATATAGATAGAGACAATATGGTATATCAGTTAAAACATATAGATAGAGACAATATGGTATATCAGGTAAAACATATAGATAGAGACAATATGGTATATCAGGTAAAACATATAGATAGAGACAATATGGTATATCAGGTAAAACATATAGATAGAGACAATATGGTATATCAGGTAAAACATATAGATAGAGACAATATGGTATATCAGGTAAAACATATAGATAGAGACAATATGGTATATCAGGTAAAACATATAGATAGAGACAATATGGTATATCAGGTAAAACATATAGATAGAGACAATATGGTATATCAGGTAAAACATATAGATAGAGACAATATGGTATATCAGGTAAAACATATAGATAGAGACAATATGGTATATCAGGTAAAACATATAGATAGAGACAATATGGTATATCAGGTAAAACATATAGATAGAGACAATATGGTATATCAGGTAAAACATATAGATAGAGACAATATGGTATATCAGGTAAAACATATAGATAGAGACAATATGGTATATCAGGTAAAACATATAGATAGAGACAATATGGTATATCAGGTAAAACATATAGATAGAGACAATATGGTATATCAGGTAAAACATATAGATAGAGACAATATGGTATATCAGGTAAAACATATAGATAGAGACAATATGGTATATCAGGTAAAACATATAGATAGAGACAATATGGTATATCAGGTAAAACATATAGATAGAGACAATATGGTATATCAGGTAAAACATATAGATAGAGACAATATGGTATATCAGGTAAAACATATAGATAGAGACAATATGGTATATCAGGTAAAACATATAGATAGAGACAATATGGTATATCAGGTAAAACATATAGATAGAGACAATATGGTATATCAGGTAAAACATATAGATAGAGACAATATGGTATATCAGGTAAAACATATAGATAGAGACAATATGGTATATCAGGTAAAACATATAGATAGAGACAATATGGTATATCAGGTAAAACATATAGATAGAGACAATATGGTATATCAGGTAAAACATATAGATAGAGACAATATGGTATATCAGGTAAAACATATAGATAGAGACAATATGGTATATCAGGTAAAACATATAGATAGAGACAATATGGTATATCAGGTAAAACATATAGATAGAGACAATATGGTATATCAGGTAAAACATATAGATAGAGACAATATGGTATATCAGGTAAAACATATAGATAGAGACAATATGGTATATCAGGTAAAACATATAGATAGAGACAATATGGTATATCAGGTAAAACATATAGATAGAGACAATATGGTATATCAGTTAATCATATAGATAGAGACAATATGGTATATCAGTTAAAACATATATACCATATATATCCTGCAGTAAGCCGGGAGGCGAAGGGGTGGGAGGGGTGTAATACATGACCTCTTACTCAAGGGAGTGAACTCTAAAAACATAATAGGACAATGAAATAGCATTACTTTGTATTTCTACATAACTGCAGTACGTTTGGATTTATTACCAAGTAGGGGCTTATGTTCGATAAATACGGTAATGTTTAATTATATAAATTGTTAGAAAATGTGTGATAGATTTGTTTTTATTGATCATTAGTATGCAATGTCACAATTCAACATTATATGTGTAGCACATTCATTGATTTGATTGATCAACAATAGGCTGCAACTCTTCCATATTTATCCTGCAATAATCTCTTACTCAAAGTATGGCCAGGCCGGAGAAGGGGGTATTACAGGACCGTGAAGTAATATTTGCTGACACTTTTACTGAACAGGAATAGATATGGGTGGGCTTATTACCCGACATGGACTTTTTGTCAGATCAATATTGTAACAGGAAATGTTGTATTATAGTGTAGCAGATTTAAATTGTACATAGGACTTCGGTCACCGTATTATAGTGTAGCAGATTTAAATTGTACATAGGACTTTGGTCACCTTCTATCTTCGTACTAGAGGGAATTTCCCTTAAGAACAGTGGTATTAAGCCTCTGGCTAGGAGTTTTTGGATCACATGCATGTTTGATCCCCTGTGGAAGCACACTACTCTCTTTCCTATTACAATAGTGTAAAATAGTCTATAATACATGAATGTGTGTCAGACTAGTAAGGTTACATACATGTATGATAATTTACAACATATTAGGACTACAATACAGTTTGTTTTTTGTATATCTGATTCAGTAAATATTCCCAGGGCTGTATCAGCCCTCACGTTTGCTGTTATGACTATACCAAAATCTGAGTGACTCGGGACCTTCACTAATAGTTCCTCTAACCCACTGTGCTACCTGGTCAGCAGTAGTCTGTACTCAAATGAACTTAAGGAAAGGTTTTAACTGTTGCAGGAAAAACCACAGTGGAATTGTCTAGTGTTTTGTATTTGTAGTCGGACAGGGATTCTTAAGGAATATGTGTAAAACTTCAGGGGCTGATTTTCACACTTTTTCTTTTGCATTCTGGAATTAAAGTTAGTTATTTTAAGTCATTTAAATCTGTTCTATTTGTTTTTGATTTTGGAACGGGAGAAGTATTTGGTGTAGGACTTTCAGAACACCAAATGTTATTCAATCAACTTTACATTTCAGAAGAAAAATATTTTAAAAGCCTGTCTAATATCATTACAATGACTAATCCTCACACTAACTGTGATAACAACATCAGCATCGTTTACATTGACGCTTACAGACATCCAAATCTTACAACAGATGTATACATTTCAGCCTGCTTCTATTTCGTTGAAGTCTTGCAAGCATCTCCTGTTTATCCTAAAATAGAAACTTAAAAGACGCCTCAAAAGGAAAACAGACTGCATTGTAACCATAGAAACGTGTCTCAAATTGAATTATTACAGCGTTGAAAGTTGTAAATACAAACATTTATAGAGGCTTTTCTCTGTGTGACCTTTCCTTAGCTGAAAGATGTGCTCAGCCTGTCTCCCTACTGGGGTATAACAGCTACCTAAAACAATCTCAAGTATCACCAGCTTACCGTCACATTATCTATCCATCTGTGCTATTTTTATTGCTTAATCTTTTTACCCCCTTTTTTTTAAAAAATATAGAAAATGCCACAAGAGATGAAATTTAGGATACTTTAAAATTTTCGAATGATATGAGTTTTTGCTTGAAATTATTGGAATGGTGTTGCTAGGTGATCAACTTCTTACAGGCAAACATATACTCGCAAAGGCAGAACATTTCGGAATGGAATTTTAATGGCTATCAAGTTCATAGCATTGTTATGTGGCTGCGACCTTGTCTTTGAAACAAGCTACCAGTCATGACAGGTGGCCCCTTAATTTGTCGGACGAATCTAAACCAAGAAACCATGCAAAGTCTTATGTAGATATTTTAAGCTTGTGAGAAGATATGTTGGGAGAAGTGATGGAGGTATGTGTAGGGTAGGTATGAGAGAAGTGATGGAGGTATGTGTAGGGTAGGTATGGGAGAAGTGATGGAGGTATGTGTGGGGTAGTTAGGTCGATCAGGAGGAGTGATGGAGGTATGTGTAGGGTAGGTAGGTCGATCGGGAGAAGTGATGGAGGTATGTGTAGGGTAGGTATGAGAGAAGTGATGGAGTTATGTGTAGGGGAGGTATGGGAGAAGGGATGGAGGTATGTGGAGGGTAGGTATGGGAGAAGGGATGGAGGTAT